TAGAAAGAATATTATGGTTTGAGACTTTTAAATAAGTCTGTGAATATATTAGGAATCCTTTAAGTGTACTTGTATTTGCTGATTTCAAGTGGTAAATAAATTAATAGATGATTAAGTTAAGCGATGGTTTAAGACACATAAAAACTAATTCCAACACAGCTTGGAATTAGACATACACAGCTCGTTCCGAGCTGTGTCCAAATATTAAAATTTTCTTGATTAAAAGCTTAATAGCTCTTAATTAAAAGCATAATTAAAAAATTAAAATTTTTCAATTAAGCTCGTTCCGAGCTGTGTCGTATTCTGATACAGCTCACACAAGGCATCGGAATTCCGACACAGGGCGCCAGAATTACAAATGAATAGAGTTTGAAGCATTGCCGGAATCAGTCTCACAATATGCCAAAATTAGTCACACACAGCGTCGGAATTCAGGGATTTTGTAGGTTTGAATGTTTGAATTCTAAAGGTTTTTAAATAAATATGGCAACAGTTTGTGACGTCTCATCATTGCTGGCACGTAGTGCGGTGTTTTGAGAGTGACAAACTAATCAGAACTCGAGTTGTGCATACGGTGATATTTTAATAGCCGTTCATTTCTTGCTACGCCCTTAATGTGTCGGAATATACCACGTTTACCCTATACTAGCTATGGGATAGGTTCAAATGGATGCATGCATTCAAATTCATATAATGCCACCTAGTGCAGCTATCAGCTGACAGTGAAACTGCCTTTTTCTCCAGTAGTAAACAAGCTTTTGCCAGGGAAGGTGTGCTGTGCGGTATGGTGCTCAGTCCGTAAAGAAGCAGCAATCGGTTCAAAATGTCATAAGACAGGGCTCCTTTAAATAACCTATAGAATTGCACCATCAACATCAGTCTTATGTGTCCAGCCGCTGGCCGGCATAGTGGCAAAGGAGCAAGTTTTTTAGACTCTCCCTCGAGTTCATTTCTGAGTGCTGTAAGTCCACTGTGCAGAGAGTGGATGAATATTGCAAGAGCTTTGGTGATGCTTCAGTAGCAAAATTTACGCCTTCAGAAGATCTTGCCAACACATTTAGATTGAAATTCTTTCATTTAATATATTTGTCAGTCTTCAGCCAACTATTTACAAAAAAGCAAGGTTTCCAGTATGTTGGATGGATCAGGATGCAGTAAAGCTTGTTCGGAAATCAATTGCGATGAGTTCCTGCCAAAAAAATGTAAACAAAATCATAATTGCAGTCACATTAGAGCGGTCAGACTGCATCATCACATGTTCAGTTGACACTTGCTGTACAATCGGACTGTTTTTAGGGTAAAATTTGTTATTTGGGATAACACGTGCATGCAACCTTGTAAATAAGTTTGTGGCTTGTAAATAGTTTTTCATTACTCAGCGTAAATGGCTTTTCATTAAAAATTACCCGGCAATACGTCTTGAAAATGGTCGGTGAAGCTTGGGGCTTGAAACCCATATATTGGCATAGTGGAATCATATGTATGGCATAGTGGACCGCTGCACCACCGTGCAGCGGTCTTAACCCTTTGCAAGGCCCCAAGCCCTTGGCCCTTGGGCCCCTCTTGCAAGTTGCAATGGTCTAAACTCAATGGTTCAACCCCATGGTCTCATCACAACTCCCTCTAGAAATATGTGGAGTTTCAAAATTGATATAAATAAATCAATAAATATTTGAACTGGGAAATTCCTTAGTTACTTATGTTGGTTCCAGAATGATATCAAGGACGTAAAAATGACAATATCGGTTAAGCCTCAGCCATGTTGCCAGCTCTACTCAGTCCTTTCACTTTTACCTTGTAACTCATGATGTTAGAACTTCCATGTTCAAATGTTAACACTACTGTCAAGTGTCAATCTCACAATCAAAATTATTTCACAATCAGAAATATGTTATAATATCACAATCAAAAATATTATTCACAAATAACCATTGATCGCAATGCAAAACTGTTTCCATCTTCACTGCTGTGGCTTTGTTTACATATGGCTACCTGGGCAGGCCTGCGGTGACGTCACACAACACAAGAACACGTGGTACATTGACTGTGACATCAAACAATGCAATATTTTGCTGCACCACATATAAATAAATTTAAATAATTAGTAATGGAAAATATGTTGCTGGAATATTTTGAGAGACTGTGCCTAAGCAGAATACTATATTATTATAGTAAACATACAAAACAATAAAGTAGTTCCTTTGATTGCCACTGCTGGCGCTGGCATCTGAATGCAAGCATGCCACCTTTGTTTAGAATTCAAACAATTCAATATTTTACTGCACCACAAGTTACCGTCAACCAGGGCTACTTGGGACGGGCGGGGTAACTCGGGACAGTCCTCNATGCGCCATGTTTGTTTAGAATTCAAACAATTTGATATCTTACTGCACCACAAGTTAATATATTTAAATAATTAATAATGGAAAATATGTTGCTGGAACACTTTAAGAGACTGTGCCTAAACAGAATACGATATTATTATATAATTAGTCAAGATACTAAATAATAAAGTAGTTCATTTGCCTGCCGCTGCTAGCGCTGGCATCAGTAAGTGAACCTTCTATGAATAATTTTAATTCAACATGGAATTATGGAGATGCAACTTCTAATCTTCTATGATTAATTTGAATCATAAACATTTACGTAATACAAGAAATTAGCAATCAATAATTCAAGGTTATTTTGTAAGTTTTGTACCAACGGAAGACTACATTAAATACGTATTGGCAACTTATGCTATCTCTTAGTAAAAATGCACTGCAACTGCAATCAGCTGTGACAGAAGCTGCCAGAAAGCGCGATAATTCATTGTTCATTTTTGATTTGAAATTGGTTTCAGTTCTTTGGACTAGAACTTCTAGAAGCATAAAATTTAGCCTAAAACCTATTATAAGTTTATGTTTCTGCATGGATTTTGATGCTGTTAACATTGAAATACTGTCTGACACTGACATGCTGTCGCAGTGTCGCTGTGGCATGTGGCAACCTAAATGGCTTGGCTGATCAGGTAATTATAGTGACAAAAACTTCTAAAATTCAATGAAAATGTTGAACAAGACCAAACTTGTATAAATAAAACTTAGGTAATTTAAATTTGTTTGAAGAAAGATTTAATTATTATGTCTAGGATCTAATATCTATCTAGGTACCTAAAAATTATCAAACTAATGGTGAACAAAATTTCTTTACCACAATCGCACAATGTACCTAAATATTCGTGAAGCACAGCCTTCGAAATATTTTCTGTGTTAGAACCGGATATTAGCACGTCATAACTCACATATCAAACTTTAAATCAAAATTGTTTATCCAATACATACTAATAAAATCATGAGAAGCAACGGTAGTCTTCTACTGAAATTTGTACATTACCGAAATGCACTAGACGAACCTTTTTCCTGTTCATTTTTTTACTGCATATGATTTTTTAACATGCAAAATTGCCAATATGTTTGAAAGGAACACAAAATTTATTATGCTGGAAAATTATATCTATACTGAGTTTGTCATGATCTCATGCGTCACCTTTGAAGATAATAATGCCATCCATCCCTCAAACAGTATTGTCCGACATTGCCGCAGCCTGTTTCATTTCTCCTCTGATAGTTGTTTCATTAAAAATAAGTTATTTTATTCGTTTACATGAAATACGGCTATGTTGGCACTTCTCCTGAAACCAGGGTCGTGGCTCAACGATAACCTCGTGGATATATTCATTTGCTCCTGAGTGTTAGGACATTTAAACAATCGTCCGCTAAGCAAGCAAGTATGTTACGTATAGCTGCTAAAATTATATAAAGCCTGAAGACCCGTGGCATCACCTAACAGATGTTAAGTTATTGACTAATGGGAGGACTTCCAGAAAAAGACATATTAGTGTTAGAAGGGCATAGAAGAGTTTGTGGCGTAGTTATGTAGCGAGATCGGCTACAATCTAATATTAACGTGGATCACAGAGACATAGATGGGACATGAGTATCACCGGAACGAGAATTTATTCACGCTTGACACTGATGGGATCATCAGTTAAAAATGAATAAACTAAGGTGCAATAATTTTCAGAGGCATCACTTCTTCGCGCATCAGGTTACAGTTCACAGAGTACCAAGATTGGCGCAGAGAGGTGCGGGTTCGATCCTAGCTCTGTGCGCCAGTTTCTGGTCAGAATCGGCAAGGAGGCCGGGTGGTTAAGCAAAGCAGAAGTGTAGCAGTGAGTTGCGAGTTTGAGACCGCAAATTGCTGTGAATGTTCTGCGATGTCCTGATTAGACTGAAAAGTCTTTTGAATCCTAAGTGCAGATAATTTATGGGTTTAATTTTGATGTAAATTATTTA